GTACTGCCATATATGGGCTATATAGGTATGTGCCGCTGTGAAGGGTATGGTTTTCAAGCAGTTTACTCTAGGATAGGGTATATAAATCAGAGCGTTTGGCTCTAGAATAGGGTATCATTTTTCAGGAAACTGATCAGTTGGTTGAAGATTTTATCTAGACTAGGTACACAGCTACTCTAGGATAGGGGGATTTGGGGAGTTTACTCTAGTATAGGGTAGCAAAACTCAGCTGAACTAGCTCTGGTAAAGGTTAAGGGTTCCAGGCTACCAGCGGCACATCCCCGCCCAGAAATTCCTAAAGTGCCCCCCCCGGGATTCACCCCCCTCATGTAAAAACTCTCCTTTCTTCCAAGAAATTTGCATAGCTGCTGACCACGTGAGTGAAAACGAGCAAGAAAAATTGATGAGGATTCTGGGCCAAAGCCTAGGTTTTAATTTATTTCTGCCCTTTTCCTTCAATTTCATTCAATCAAAGGTCGTTTATTGGTTAAATAAATGCGTGCACGAATTTTTTGACGATTTTTGAGTATTTTTAAGGAATTAAGATTGGCCTGGGGGGTTTAAAATTATGGAAAATTGGAAAAAATTAGATTTGAAATAGAAGAGGAATAATTCGTAGACAAATACTGAATAGTCCACCACCAAAGATGCCTTAGAGCTCATTAGCGGACTAACTGGTTTACGTAAATACCGGCTTCTACCCTAATTTCTTCCCTTTTCAAAATAGCCAAATCGACGCGCTCGCGCGTACACTCAGTTCACGATCCAAGGATGGAGTCATCCAAGCACATAACGGTGTTTTTATCTCCCCACATTAATTCGATCGGATCAACAAACTCACACATTTTTCATCTTATATGCCAACCCTAACCATTATTTCGCGATTTGGTGTTTGAGACATCATCACTTTTCGAACTTTTCGTCTCTCAAAAAATAGAAAGAAGAAAACAGAAGACTGTCACGCAAGAAGGTCGCACGCGATGTCGTGTTATGATGACGTTTCAAAACGAGACAAATAATAGCGGCAGTAGCTGTAACTCAAGATAGGCTTTATAGAAGCTGCAATTTTAGTCGCGTGTAAGGGTTCCCTCTGAGTAAAGGTAAGTGTACGGGAATTCTAAAAACCGATTCAAACTAACAAAGTTACTTGAAACTAACAACACTTTAATTTTCCCATTTAAAACCATTTATTTTGCTTTGACCAGAAAGTTGCACTTGGCACCGTATTTCATTGTTTTTTTGGTAGAGGAAAACCCTGCCATTTCATGGGCTTTTTACTGATTTTGAAGGTTGCTACCCTGTGAATTTTACCTTTTACGTTTTTTTATCTTATCAGTCGTCCTAGTAGACTCTAAAATACACCGAAAATCGCGGCGTAGTCACCGAACTCAATCGTTCTATTGACTTCGATTGGGTTCGGTAATCGAACATAATCGAACTCACTCAAAAATCTTGCCAATTGAACAGAATCACACGAACATAAAGCCAGTTTCATCTGATTTGGAATAAGGCGTTGAGTTCAAATAGGGGCAGTGTAAAATGCGGGCTGCGGACTGAATGCGGACTATTGTTTTTAGGGTTAGTTCTGTAACTCAACTTGTTTCGACTTCAGCATAGTGGTCAACACTGTCTTGATCAGTGAAGCCAGAGGCTACTGTTCCAGGAGCATTTTGAAGCAAACCATTGGAATGAGAAAACAATGAGATGAAAGCAAAGCTACTGGGGCAAGGGCTAACAGCAACAAAAGTGACAATGGAAGGCAGAGAGGGGCTTGCAAAAGACCAAAGCTCGAAGCAAACGTGACATTTAATTGTGATCGATTATTTACACTGTTTACATTCGCACCTCCAAAGCTCAGACTCTTTTTTGCCTCTGGCATTTGTCCTGGCTCTTTAGCGAGTCGTTTTACACGGAACAGGCCATCATTTGTAAAATCTTGTTCGATTTCCTTCTGCAACTTTGTCCAAAGATCTCT